TTTTTTAAATGCAATTTAAAACAAAAGTGATTTTTCCATTTTTCACCTACATTCAAAATAAATGTGTTCTCCATGGCTGGAAGAACGTGGCTCTTGGGATCTCTTCTTCCATCAGTAGATACGCAAGTGCGTACCCTTCCGAAGGCATTTCAGCAATGTCTATAAAATGGCTTAAAATGTATAAACACTTTTAAATATGGCCAACCAGAAGCAGGGACGGGAAACCTGTTTGTAGTTTCTAAATATTATTTGGGAAAGTAACAAAATACTAAAAGGAAACAGCGCTCCTTGGAACACGACTACGTCAGGATGGGAGGTAGAAAATGAACCAGATGAGCTTGGAACATTCTGGGGCAGAGGGAAAGCAAATGAGCAGAGCTTCGGGGTCCTATCCAAAGAATCGGGAGCCAACTGGAAAAGGGTCCCACGCAGCAACCATGGGGACTACTTGAGCATCACAGAGGGTGCTACTTAAATGAATCTAAACATATTAAATATCACCCCCCCACACACACACAGAGCTACCATGACAGCTAGGGAACCAACTCATTATTTTGAAAACCAATAAATAAGCATCTATCCTGCCTTTCATTACTGTAACATCTATACTGCCTTTCATTACTGGAACCAACTCATAATTTTGAAAACCAATAAATAAGCATCTATCCTGCCTTTCATTACTGTAACAATGGATAACCATACAGTAGTTGAAGGGAAGATTTTTTTAAATAAAAATATTCTAGTAGCTGGGTGTGGTGGTCTATACCTGTAATTCCAGCTCTGTGGGAAGCTGAGGTGGGAGGACTGCAAGCCTGAGCCTAACTTTAGCAATTTAGTGGCTTAAGAAAAATAAATACATGAATGTACAGTGGTAGAGGGCTAACCTAGCATGTGTTCAATCTCTAGTGCCACAAAACAAACAAAAACAAGTAGTTGCAGGGTTAAAAAAAAAAAGAACGAGGGCCGGGGATTTAGCTCAGTGGTTTCGCCGCTTGGTGCACAAGCGCAAGGACCTGAGTTCGATCCCGGGTACCAAAAAAAAAAAAAAAGAACGAGGGAGGATGCATGGATTGAGGTTTAAGTGACCTGGCAATTAACTATAATTCATAGAGATTACTGATTTTTTTAAACTGACATGCATGAAACAAATTTGAACACTATCAGATACGTGATGTCATTAAGGCACTATTATCAATCATTTTAAGGACTGAAATACTTTTTTAAAGTTCTGATGTGTTTTAGCAATTAATGCTAAAATATGGATGTAATGATAGCTTTCTGGTATTTACTTAAAAAGTAATGGAAGTGAGGGAAATGGGTGGAAATGTAGCCAAAACAAAATTGGTCATGAGTTGATAAATTATTAAAACCTGGAATTGGGTCCACTAGGGTTTACTATAAGATTCTGTACATTTTTGTATATGTTCAACTTTTTTTTTCAGTACTGGGATTGAACCCAAGGAGTGCTGACGTACATCCTCAGCCTTTTTTATTTTAGTTTTTAAAACTTTTGCGACAGGATCTTGCTAAACTGTTCAGACTGGTCTCTAATTAGCCTCAGCCTCTCAAATAGCTGAGAGTACAGGTATGTACCACCACACCACCCTCAATGTTTTGTTTTTGGTACTAGGGATCAAACTCAGGATCTTGTGCTTGCAAGGCAGGTGCTGGAATATTTTTGTTTTTTTGAGACAGGATCTCTCTATGCACTCTATGGAGTTCAGGCTGGCCTCAAACTTGCAGCCATCCTCCTGCCTCAGCCTCCTGAAAGCTAGGATTACAGGTGTGCAGCACCACACCTGGCAGTCTCAACGTTTTTCAAAAGTTTTTATTACCTTTTTTTGTTTGTTTTTTGAGACAGGGTCTCACTATGTAATTCAGGCTGGCCTTGAACTCACTATGTAGCCCAGGCTGGATGTACTCATGGGCAATACTCCTGCCTCAGCCTCCCCGAGTGCTGAGATTACAGGCATGTGCCACCACGCCCAGCTTTTTTTTTTTCCCCTAGTACTGGGGATCGAACTCAGGACCTTGTGCCTTTGAGGCAGGCTCAGTGCCGCTGAGCTAAATCCCTGGCCCCTAGTTGTTGTTCTTGTTTTTAAAAGTATATACATTTTTTTAAGAGTAGGAAAAATTTCTCGAGAAAGATAGCTTCTAAGAAGGAAAGTAGGTTGCCCTCCAAAGTATATACATTTTGATCTACCATTTCCATTTGTAAGAATTCATTTTAAACCAAGTGCGGGGGTGCAAGCCTGTCATCCCAGCAGGTGGACTGCTGAGAGTTCAAGACCAGCCTGGTCTCCATAGTGAGTTCAAGGCCAGCTTGAATTACATAGTGAGACCCTGTCTCAAATTAAAAAAAAAAAAGAATTCCTCTTAAAGATATATCACACATACAAATTAATTTATGTGCAAGGGAGATGTATTTATTATAAGATTATTTGAAAGAGTAACAAATAATAAAAATAACCTAAATTATTAGGGTTAAATTATGGAACACACATAATGGAATAGTTAAGTGTTTGTTAAAAAAAGAAAGCAGTGGCCCAGGGATTTATCTCAGTGGTTCCGGCACTTGCCTCGAAAGCCCAAGGTCCCAAGTTCAATGCCCGGTACCAAAAAAAAAAAAAGAAAGGAGTGAAGCAGCTATATATGTATTGATATGGTATAATATTGAAGATGTGTGGCTAAGGGAAAAGAGTAAGGTATAAAATGTTACTATCATGGGAGCCGGAGATTTAGCTCAGTGATTCTGCCGCCTGCCTTCCAAGCGCAAGGTCCCGAGTTCGATCCCTGGTAAGTTGCTATCATGGTATAAAAAGTTTTAATAAAGAGTTTGTTACATGTCTATGCTTATGAAAAATAAAAATTAGGAAATATATAACAATAACATGGTATCTGTTATTGGCCCATAATTTTAAATTTTTTATCCCATGCATATCCTTTAATTATTCAAGTGACAATTTTTAATGTCATAGCTTTGAGCTCCTTTAATGATACTCTCATTTTTGGTGCCAGGGATTGAATCCAGGGCACTGTGCATGCTAGGCAAGCATTCTACCTCAACTGTACATTTTAATCATTGAATAACTTAAAAATATGACATACAGAAGATTGCTTTCTAATCCTTTGTAAGCAATGGCACGTGCAGAAAATGCAGGGGATTTTAGCAAACACTCAGGCTGTCTGATAAGAGGCTGGCATCAAAGTGCATCTGCCTCACGCTCTCCCTGGCTACTCCCAGGGATGAGGTGATCAGTTTCTTGATTTTCCTCAGATTCATTCACAAACCCTGATCCAGATGTCACTGGAGTTCAATTAAGGATACTTTTATCCTTACTGTGACCTTCTAGAGTTACAATACCAACATTCTGAAAACGTGAGTTAATCTAAAGCAGGTGATGTTTCAGACATCTAATTTAAAATTAGCTTTTTAAACTGGATATGGTGGTGCACACCTGTAATCCCAGCACTCTGGAGGCTGAGGCAGGAGGACTGCCACAAGTTTGAGGCCAGCCTGGGCTACATATTGAGTTCAAGGCCATCCTGAACTACATAGCATGAACCTGTCTCAAAAACAAACTGAAAAAAATCCAACCTGTTTATAGAGTATTGGCTTAAAAAGTCAGGAATTTTATTTATATCTTCATAAATGATAATAATCTGGTTTTTTGCATTACATAAAATGTAGTTCTTTTTTTTTTTTTTTTTTTTTGGTACTGGGGATTGAACTTAGGTTCTTGTGCTTGCGCAGCAGGTGGCAAAACCACTGAGCTAAATCCCCAGCCCACAGAAGATGTAGTTCTTAATTTTTCTTTATAAAAAACATTTTTCTTGATTTTTTTTTCTTAATCAGTATTTAGCCTTGAAAATAAACTGGCAAGGGCCAGGGATTTAGCTCAGTGGTTCCAGCGCCTGACTCAAAAGCACAAGGTCCCAAGTTTGATCCCCGGTACCAAAAAAAAAACAACAAAAAAAACTGGCAAGCTTCCTTTAAGGATTATCTGTTTCCTGAACTTTTTAGGTTAAAGTGTTTTCTGTTGGGGATGGTAGTTAATGCCTGTAATCTCAGCACTCTGGGAGGCTGAGGCAGGAAGATTCCAAGTCTGAGCCCAGCTGGGACAACTCAGTGAGAACCTAACTCAACATAAAAAAATTTTAAAAAGGGGTGGGGATGTAGCCCAATGTGAGACCCTGGGTTCAATCCCCAGTACCATAACAAAAAAAATTTTTTTCTTCTTTTTGTTTTGTTTTGTGGTGCTGGGGATCATGAATGCTTGCTAAGCACTCTACCACTGAGGTATATACTTATGTCCTAAAATGTTTTCTTTAAAAGGAAAGAGTTTTGATGAATTTTTATGTTCTTCCATGATCACTGATTTGCCCATTCCACATCTTGAACCAATTTTTTTGTAAAAATCTGTTCTCTAACTTTTCAAATACATCAAAGTTATACATAGTAAATTATTTTTTTAAAAGTCTTCATCTTCATCCTATTCATCTTATTTATTTGATACCAGGGATGGAACTCAGGACCTTGCACTTGTGAGGCAGGTGTGGTGCCACTGAGCTAAATCCCTGACCTTTTTTTTTTTCGTACCAGGGATCAAACTCTGGTCCTTGCACTTGCAACTTTCGGGGCTGCAGCAGAACCACTGAGCTAAATCCCCAACCCCTTGTTTGTTTATGAGGTTTTTTTTTTTTTGGTATCAGGGATTGAACTCAGGTCCTTGTGCTTGCACAGCAGGCGGCCAAACCACTGAGCTAAATCCCTGGCACCCCCTTGTTTGGTTGTTTGAGACAGGGTCTTGCTATGTAGCCCAGGCTGGCCTCAAATTTGAGGTGATCTTCCTGCTTCAGCCTCCTGAGAGCTGGGATTACAGGTGTGCACCACCACACCTGGCTCCTAGTCATATTTTTTAGATGACATTTATAAATACTCTATCCTATTACATTGTTAAATAAACAACTTTCACATTAAGGTTACTATTTTGTTTTACCAAAAAAAAAAAAAAATGGAAAAAGCAAGACAAAAGTACACTCTAGAGCACATGGGATGGGCTAGCATGAGGAAAAGCCATGATAACTTTTTTTTTTTTGGTGTTTTGAGACAGTCTCACTATGTAGCTCAGTCTGGCTTTGAACTCACTATGGAGCCTAGGCTGACCTTGAACTGAGAGCAATTTTTAATCATTCTTACCGCTAATTTGGTTTAGTTGTTAATTCTTTTCTCTTAATTAATCATTCATTCAATATGCTCAGTATGACTGGGAATGACTAGGTGCTAGAGATCTATGCTTGGTGATAAAGCCCATACCTTTAATTCTTGGATTCTTATAAGAGTACAGCTTTGGTACTGGGGTTTTTTTTGTTTGTTTGCTTTTTTTTTTTTTTCAGCATCAGGGATCGAACTCAGGACCTTGTGCCTGCAAGGCAGGTGTGAAGCCATTGAGCTAAATCCCCAGCCGAACTGGTATTTAATATGTAGAATTTATTATCATTTATTTCTAGTTTGTAGTTTGGTTTTTTAAAATTTTGAGACAGGATCTAAGTTGCCCAAACTGGCTTTGAATTTGGTGATCCTCCTGCCTCAGCCTCCTGAGTGCTGGGATTACAGGTGTCCACTATCACACTTAGCTGGATGAAGGCCTCTTTGTGATAATTATGGCCTTATAACTGCTTTTTGGAATGAATTATAATAACACTGGTTATGAAGGCTTTTTAAATACTTAATATATTCATAAGGTCCTCCTTTTACATTAACTCAATAACAGCAATACTAATAAAATTAATGATACGAGCTAGTATTTATTGCGCACATATATGTTGCAGATTTATGTTTAAAGGCTTTATAAAAAACATTTGAAGGCCAGGGATTTAGCTCAGTAGCATTACGCCTGCCTGGCAAGTGCAAGGTCCAGAGTTCGATCTCAGTACTGAGGGGGAAAAAAAAAAAGAATGAAGAAACTCTAGGGCCGGGGATGTAGCTCAGCAGTTCTTCACCTGAGTTCGATCCCCGGTACAGAGGAAAAAAAAATTTGATGGCTAGGGATGTAGTTCAGTGGCGCCATGCCTGCGTGGCAAATGCAAAGTCATGAGTTTGATCCCCGATACCAAAAGAAAAAAAAATTTGATTTAGTCTTTATGAAAACTCTCTATTAGGTAAACATAATTATCATTACTTAAAAATAAGTGGGAAAAAAAGTAAATGAGAGGGCTGGGGATCTAGCTCAGTGGTTCCGCTGGCTGCCTTGCAAGCACAAGGACTAGAGTTTGATCCCAGTACCAAGAAAAAAAAAAACTAAATGAGGGATAGAGAGATTGCAAAACTTCCCTAAGGCTATACAGTCAGTAAACAATGGAAATGATAAGACAATGTTGAGAAAGGTCTATGCCATGGAAAAAGGCACATTCACAATTTTTTTTTTTTGAGGCGAAGTCTTGGTATGTTGCTCAGCCTGGTTTTGAATTCCTGGGCTCAAGTGAGCCTCCTGTCTCAGCTTCCCAAGTAGCTGGGACTACAGGTGCTACCACTGCATAGGTCACTTTCTATTTGGAATTCTTAGAAATTTAGCATATTTTGAATGCTAACACAAGGGTGTTCTGTATTCTTATTAACTTTTTAAAGCAAATGTTTTCTGATGCTTAGTAAGCAGTAAGACAAAAAGAACTCCCACATTTACTGAATTTTCTTCTGTTATGAGTTCTCTAATGTTCCACAATAGAAGTGACAAATAAAGATTTTCTGACATTAATTACATCGATAATGAACTAATATTGAGCCAGGTGTGAGCTCACATAGAGGTTTCTCTATGTCCCTCACATCCAAGGCTTGCTAACTGGTATGGATTCTGTAGTGTTCAATGAGCTGAGAGCCAAGGACAAAGGCCTGCCCACACTCCCTACATTCATAAGGCTTGATCCCAGGATGGATTCTCTGATGTTCAGTAAGCTGTGAACTACGGATGAAGGCCATCCCACATTCCCTACATTCGTAAGGCTTCTCACAGGTGTGAATTCGCTGATGGTGGGTCAACTGTGAAACACGAATAAAAGCTTTCCCACATTCCTTACATTCGTAAGGCTTGTCTCCTGTATGAATCCTCTGATGCTGAATGAGGTATGAACTGCGACTAAAGGCCTTCCTGCAGTCCTTGCATTCATAGGGTCTGTCACCTGTATGAACTCTCTGGTGTCGAGTAAGCTGTGCATGCTGTCTGAAGGCCTTCCCACACTCCTTACATTCATAGGGCTTCTCCCCGGAATGGATTCTTTGATGCCGAGTCACTTCTGAGCTGTGAATAAAGCCCTTTCCACATTCCTTACATTCATAGGGCTTCTCACCAGTGTGGATTCGCTGATGGACAGTCAGCTGCGAGTGCTGTCTAAAGGCTTTCCCGCACTCTTTACACTGGTAGGGTCTAGCACCTGTGTGAATTCTGCGATGAACAGTAAGCTGTGAGCCTCGGATAAAAGCCTTCCCACAGTCTTTACACACGTAGGGTTTCTCACCTGTATGAGTTCTTTGATGCAGAATAAGTTGTGAATGCTGCCTGAAGGTCTTTCCACATTCTTTACATTCATAGGGTTTGACACCAGTATGAAGCCTCTGGTGCAGAATAAGTTCCGAGGTACGACCGAAGGCCTTCCCGCATTCCTTACAGCCGTAAGGTTTCTCACCTGTATGAATTCGCTGATGTTGAACAAGGTGTGAGGCACGGCTAAAGGCCTTCCCACATCCCTTACATTCAAAGGGCTTCTCACCAGTATGCGTTTTCTGATGTTGACTAAGGTGTGAGCCACGGTGAAACACTTTCCCACATTCACTGCATTCAATCATTTTCTCGCTGGTCCGGCTGTGCTGATGGGGAGTGAGGGATCTGTGATGCTCGAAACTGGGCATGTTTTCGTAGGTGATTTCTACTTGCTTGAAATAGCATTCCTGATTTACTTGTCTCTCAAATTGGCCTTTGCATTCCCAGTCACCTCTAAAACTGGAGCCATCAAGATCACAGTTTTTAAGGCTTTCCATTACTTCCCAATGGAAAGACTTTATTTCAAAAATATCTTTTTGTGGAAATGTCTTACATCTGGACTCTAAGCCTGAAAAATACAAGAGAAAAGTAAACATAAGCTGTTTTCACAAAAAGAACTAGTATGTGTTATGTACATATACCATCTCCTCACGATGAATGCAACCATATGTACTTCAAACATGTACAATAAAAATAAAAATTAAAAAAGAAAAAAATAAGCTGCTCTCTTCTATGAAAAATAAAAAATTCTACAGTAAAATGGGTAGAACAGAATGAAAACAATAACCATAAAAAGTGAATAGCTTATATAAGTCTCAAATATTAGCCAATTTATCAAAAGCACATGAAAGCACAAATATGGTATGAGCTTACATGGTGCCAGAGGGAGCAAGATAAAATAATTAAGCCAGGTTCTCCATTTGATATGGATCAGAATCATTCAAGAAGCACATTAACCATACGATGTCCAAGCATTGCCTCAGACTGAATCAAAAGCTAGAGGAGTAGGCCCAAAGTGTGAGTGTGTGTGCGTGTGTGTGTGTGTGTGTGTGTGTGTATTTATTTTATATATTTTTAAGTCTCTCTGTGGTGCTGGGGACTGAACCTAGGGCCTCATACATATGCATATTTTAAAACTGAGCTTAAATTCACATAATATAAAATTTCCCATTTAAACCATTTCGAAAGGCACAATTCAGTGGCTTGTAGTACATTCCCACTCTGTAGTTTGAGAACACTTCATCACCCCCACATAGAACCCTACAGAGAGAGAGAGAAAGAGAGAGAGAGAGACAGAAGGAGAAAGAGAGAAAGAGAGAGAGAGAAAGAGAGAGAGACAGAGGGAGAAAGAGAGAGAGAGAGATAAAAAAGAGAGAGAAAAAGTCACTCCCATTCTCTATTCCCTCCATCCCTGGGCAGCTACTAATGATTAGGCAGAGAGCCACTGATTCTGTCTTTATGCCTTTGTCTATTCTGGACATTTCACATAGATAAAGGATCTCTGCTTTTTTTTTTTATTTGTATGTTTGATTTTTAAGATGGGGTCTTCCTATGTTGCCTAGGCACGATTCTCCTGTCTCAGCCTCCCAAGTGAGTAGGATCACAGGTGTACGCCACTATGCCCAATTTGAGGCAATCTCTGTAACATGTCCCACCATGTGATATTGAGGCCAAACAAAATAAAAATCTCTGCCTGGACTTCTCACTGCCTTCCCACTGGGCTGAGAGTACACTCCAAATGCACTGCCGTGGCTCACAATGCTCTTGGCAAAGTGGGTCCCTGCTGTCTTTCTTGACAATGTCTCAACTACAAACAATCCATTTTCATGATGAGCACTCTCCTCTCTCCTACCTTTGTACCAAACCACAGGCTTCCTTTGAGCATCTAGAATAAACGTAGGCTTTTCCCAGCTCAGATTGCTCAATAGGTCCTGTGCTCTCTGCATGCTCTTTTCTCATCCTTCAGGTCTCAGATGAAAACTCACTTTCAAAAAAGCTCTCAGCTTGCTAACCCTAAGCATATACATTTATTCTCTTTCACACAGCTGTGCCCTGTTTCTACAACACTTTTATCAGCTATAATTATATTTCCATGTATTTATCTGTTGATCTATTTGCTTTTTGCTACTGAATTTCCCCAAAGGCAGAAACAACACCTTTCTCAATAGTGACTGTAATAAACTCTTAGAATAGATTTTTGGTAATGGATTTGGGGATGAATAAATATTGGATTCCAGTTAGACAGACCAGTGGAACACAATAAAAAGGACAGACAGAAATAGATTGAAGTTTACTGAAATTGAATATACTATAAAGGCAGTATCTCAAAGGGATAAACAGTTTGTATAATAAATAATATCAGGATAACTAGACAGTCATTTGAAAAAAGAAAAATCAGAGTCCATATATTATGACACCATATACCAGAATAAAATTCAAATAGGTGTTTTTCCCTCCAATTTTCAAGCTGAACAAATAATGCAGGGGATGGGAGTGTAGCTCAGTGGTAGAGTGTGTGCTTAGTTATCGTGGGTGAAGCCCTGACTTCAATCCCAGTACCAGAACAAAAATAAAAATCCCCAAAGACACTATAGATCCCCTGAACTTACTAAGTACAAATTTGTATCTAAAGCACAACATCTCCCCGATCCACCTCCTCTCCCCACCCAAATCCTGGTAATTACCATTCTCCTCTCTCTTTCAATGAGTTTGACCTTTTTAGATTTCACATATAATTGAGATCATATGGTATTGTCTTTCTGTGTCTGGCTTATTTCACTTAACATAATGCCTTCCAGATTTGCCCAAGTGTGAGAAACAATAGCTGTCTTTTCTTTCTTTCTTTCTTTTTCTTTTCTTTGCAGTACCGGGGATCGAACTCAGGACCTTGTGCTTGCCAGATAGTTGCTGCGCCACTGAGCTACATCCCTGGCCCCCAAGCTCTGTCTTTTCTATCAAACAAGAGTGCCTCCATTTTGGACTCTAGTCCACTCTAGGTGGCTCCACCCAAATGCACCAAGTTTGAGAAATGCCTGCTCAGTTTAGACTCTGGGAACACAGCTAACAGTCAAGGACTTTCAGTGCCCCATACCTCAATGCTCCCCTCCCTTAACAACCCTGCCCAGCAACACTTTGTGCTGCTTAAACTAGCCAATTGGGATAGATTGTGAACCTTCAACCCAACCAAGGGAAAAAGGTCAGCTGCTTCTCCTGTGTTAGGGATAAAAGGGGCAAACCACCTTTGTCCTGCGTACCTGCTACCTCATTGCTGGGGTGTGTTTGTGCCCTTTGGCAAAAGTAAAAAACCTTGTTGAGATTTCTTGGTGTCTGAGTGCTTCATTATCTGCACCAACAAATTGAGTCTGGGGGCTTATTTCCAACACGTTATCGCAAATGACAGGGACTTCCTTCTTTTTAAAGGCTGAACAGAAATACACTGTTGTGTATTTGGTATATACCACATTTTCTTTATCCATCTATTGATAGGTTGTTGTTTTTTTTTGAGACAGGGTCTCACTATGTAGTTCAGGCTGGCCTTGAACTCACCATGTAGCTCAGGCTGGCCTTGAACTGGCCACAATCCTCCTGCCTCAGCTCCTGAGTGCTGGGATGACAGGCATGTGCCACCATGCTCAACAGAAAATGAAATTTAAAGATACTATTTCATATCATTCTTCAATAAAAGGAAGCAGGTCTCCTCTGAGGAATGGTTAATATCAGGGCTGAAGCAGGAAAAATACACAGTAAGACTGGAATAAGAACTATGTGCACTGCTGTATGCTTGTAATTACAGCTATTTGAGAGGCTGAGGCAGGAAGATCCCAAGTTCAAGGACACTCTGGGAAATTTATTGAGATTCCATCTCAAAAAAAGATGGGGGAGATGCCAGTGGTAGAGCACTTGCCTAGGACGCATGAGATTCTGGGTTCCATCTCCAGGACTGCAAAAAAAAGGAAGGGAGGCTGCAATACGGTGTGGTATCATAAAATATGGAAGAACATATAAAAGAATGAGGGCAGGGCTAGAGTTGTAGCTGTCATAGAATGCTTGCCTAGCATGTGCAAGACCCTGATTCTGTAGGGAAAAAAAAAGGCATGCTGAGTGAGCCCAGGAGCCAACCCGAAGGAATTCTCCTTGGTTAATGTTTGAAGAATTTGAACAATGAAATAATTAAAGTACTGACTTCAATCCACAGACTAAAATAAATATCCCTGAGCCCACAAATGAATGAATAAATAATAAATGAATGGAGGGAATAAGAACAGCTCTTTGTAATTCTTTGTAAAGAATTTCAATTAATAAATGGTAATAGGAATAAGGGACACAAAAAAATTAAGCAAACAGCACAGTAATAGCTTGTACATGCAAATAATTCCAGCACTCTGGGATGCTGCGGCAAGAGGATCTCAAGTTCAAACTCAGCTTGGGAAACTTAGCAATTCAGCAAGACCATACCTCAAAATAAATAATTTACAAAGGGCCGCAGATGTATACTCAGGGCAAAGGCCCTCGGTTCAATCTTCAGGGGCGGGGGAGAGAGAGAGAGAGAGGAGACAGAGAGAGAGAGAGAGGCAGACAGAGACAGAGAGCAGAGAGGGATAGAGAGACAGACAGATAAAATACAAATCAAAATCACTTGATGGAAAAATGTTAATAAAACATAAGGAAAACAAATAGCTGGAAATGAAAAGAATGAGTAATACAAAACTATAAAACAAAATGATCGAAGAATGGACATATTAACTTTAACAACAAATGAGAATGAATTGAATTCCCTTTTTCCAAGTCTAGGAATCTCAGATTGATTCAAAAGGAAACTAACAAGGGCTGGGGATTTAGCTCAGTTGGTTTTGCCATGTGCTGCGCAAGCACAAGGACCTGAGTTCGATCCCGAGTACCGAGAAAAAAAAAGGAAACTAACAGAATCCTGGCTACAATGTACATACTTTACACTTGATCTTAGCCAAAAGGCTGAAAAGTGATACAATGTACATACTTTAAACAAACCGGTAATAATACTAGCAGAGCTACTAAATGGCAGAAGTCAGGATTTGAATATAGACAGCGGAGCTCCAGAGTCTATGCCCTCAATCCTACACAACCATACTTCTCAAAAGTTGAGACTATAGGAATAAATAAACTGCTAAATTAAATTTCTTTCCTTCATTTCCCTCTTTTTTTCTCTTCTCTGCCTTTTCCTTTCTTCCTTTCTCTCTTGTATTGCTTTTTCTTTTTCTTTCTTTTTTTTTTTTTTTTTCCAGTAACAGGGATCAAACTCAGGACCTTGTGCTTGTGAGGCAAGCACGGTGCCACTGCTCTACATCCCCGGTCTTCTTCCTTTCTCTTTTTTTCTTCCCTTCCTTTCCCCTTTCTCTTTTCTTCCTCTCCTTCTCTCTTCCTTCCTTTTCCCTTTCTCTCTTTTTCATTCTTCCTCCCTTCCTTCCCTTTCCCTTTTTCCTCTCTTGCTTGCTTGCTGTACTGGGGATTGAAACCAGAGCCTTCACACTGAACTACCTTGGAGCCATCTTTTTTATTTTTTTATTTTGAGATAGGGTCTCATTAAGTCCCTAAATTGCCAGGTTGGGCTCAAACATGTGATTCTCTTGGCTCAGCCTCCCTGAGTGCTAAGATAACAGGCGTGTGCCACTGTGTCCACCAGTTTTAAGACAACAATTTTTTCTAAGGCATGAAGATACTTGGAAAAAAAAAGGATTCTGAGTACATGCAAAAAGATAGCCACTGGGGAAGAAAAGGGCACACTGCTTTTTGAAATGGGAAGGAATCATGAGAAAGAACAGAGAGGAACTAAACAGAGAGGGAAAGGTTCCCTTGGGAGCTGATCCTCTGCTGTTTACAGCTTCAGGTATCTCTTCTTTCCACAGCAAGGCTGTGAGGGGAGCTGCCTGACAAAAGCTCAAGCTACAGCCATCAGTTGACTCACTCACTGTTATCCCCACGTCCTCTCCCATGGGATCAGCCCTACTCACCTTGATACCAAGGTCCTGTCATGTCATTTGTAACCATCCATGGCTCTTTTCCTTGCTCCAATAAGGAGATGACATCAGGCTTCGAAATGGAAAGTCCTGTTTAAAGGAAAAGAAATGGGACGTGATCATACTGTTCCAAATTCAAACCCAGTCCTTTGGTCACCAAGGAATCAGGGTGATGATAAGGAGGAAGGAGTGAAGGCTGGACAAAAGATGGGAAGGAGGGTGGAGGTGACCAGTGGAACTACTCATTCCCAACTCTACAAAGGACGAACAATAATCTTGGTACGGAGGATGGAAGTTCATTCAGAAACTTGTAAGTTGCCTAGAAATTCCAGAAGGCTAGTCCTAAATGACATGGAGTAGATAACTATGGAGATTACACTGCTTTAATCCTCTCCTTCCCTTCCAATCCCTTCCTTGGATGGCCCTGCTCCACACTGGGTTTTCTGCCCAAGACAGCCAGCCTGTAGGGACTGTGGCACCCTGCCCCATGGCTTGCTATTGGCTTGGCAGAAGGAAAGCGTCAGCATGTGAGCAGGAGGTGGGGGGAGTGCAGGGCATCTCTGACTCTGTCCCTTCCCCTTTAGACACTGGAGTTCTGAAAGTCACCTCAGCATCTCCTCTGGTGGCACTGCTTCCTCTCTTCACTCCTTCAGGCCAGAGGCAGAAACAGCCAACTCCCAGCACTGTAGTTCCTGGTGCCTCATTTTCCATCTGTCCCTGAGTGATCATTAGCCTTACCTAATGTGACCAAGTGACTGAAGTTCTCCAAAGTCACATCTTTGTATAAGTCCCTCTGGGAAGGTTCCAGATACTTCCATTCTTCCTGAGAGAACTCAATGGCCACATCCCTGAATGTTATCAATCCCTGAAACAATAAACCCGTACATTAATAAAAAGTAAAGGCTTTTCATTTTTAAACTTTTTTTCTCTTTTTTTATGAAACCACAAGTACTAGGAAAGTAGGCAAATGTTTTACTGATCTAAATCCCCAGTCCCTGCTTCCCCCCTTGACACAGGCCCATGCTAAATTGCCCATGCAGGCCTCTAATTTGTGATCCTCCTGTCTCAGCCTCCTGAGTAGCTGGGATTACAGGCATGTACCATCACCCATGGCTTTTTTACTGTGAAATATTTCAAAATACACAAAAGCACAGACAATAATTACGATTCCTATGAACCCATTACTCTCCATCAACAAGTAACAAGATTTTTGCATATTTTGTTTTTTAAATTTCTTTCCATCTTTTATCACTAGTTTTTTTTTTTCCCCCAGTACTGGGAACCTTGTGCTTTCGAGGCAGGAGTGATACCACAGAGCTAAATCCCCAGCTATCACTAGTGTGTTTTAAGGCAAATCTCGCATATCAAATATCACTAATACTTTACCCACAAATACTTTAGTATAAGGGCCGAGAATTTAGCTCAGTGGCGCTGTGCCTGCCTTACAACCACAAGGTCCTGATTCGATCCCTGGTACTGGGAAAAAAAACCCCAAAATAAAAAACTTTGCTATTAAATAGGTACAGACTTTTTTTCCAGAGGCACCACATTGCATGCTTAGCATGTGTAAGGCATTGAGTTTGATCCTTAGCACCACAGAATAAATAAGCCAAAGTTTAAAAACCATAACCTGAATATCAGTCATACTTAATAAAATTAACAATAATTTCCTAATAGGTCAGCTTTAAATTCAAATTCTCCCAGTTTTTTCAAAAGGGACTTATTTGTAGCCAGGTGTGATGGTGCACGCCTGTAATCCCAGCATTTGGGAGGCTTAGGCAGGAGGATCACTGTGAGTTCAAAGCCAGCCTGGGCTACAGAGAATTCAAGGCCAGTTTGAACTATATAGCAATACCCTGTCTCAAACAAAACAAACAAACAAAAAAATGACTTATTTTTTAATTGCACATATTTATGGGTACAGTGTGGTCATTAGATATATGCCTACAATGATCAAAGCAGGGTGATGAACATTTGAGATCTTTAAACATTTATCATTTCTTTGAGTTAAGACCTTTAGATTCCTCTAGTCTTTTACAAAATATACATTTTTGTAAACTATAGCTACTCCACAGTGCTATAGAATACTAGAATTTGTTCCTCCTATCTAACTGCATTTTGTTGCTCCTATCTAATCTCCTCTTGTCCTCCCTCCCTTCCTTCTTCCTAGCCTCAGACAACTACTATTCTACTCTCTACTTTTACGAAATCAACATTTTTAGCTTTCACATGAGGGAGAACATGTGGCATTTGTCTTTCTGGGCCTAGCTTATTTCACTTAATATCATATTCTCCAGTTCCATCCTTTTTTGTTTGTTTGTTTTATTGGTACCAGGGATCAAACTTGGGTCCTTGTGTTTGTGAGGGATGCGGTGTTTGTTTTTTGAGACAGGGTCTCACTATGCAGCTCAGGATGGCCTTGAACTCACTATGTAGCCAAGACTAGTCTCAAACTCACAGGGATTCTTCTGCCTCAGCCTCCTGAGGGCTGGGATCACAGGCATGTGTCACCATGCCTGGCAGTTCCATCCATTTTGCCACAGTCAAAAGAGATTTTTTAAATAGCTGTCCTGTTCAAATCAGGAGTCAAACAAAATTCATACATGGTGCTTTGTTGATAGGTCTCCCAAAATCTCTAACAAGCCTTAAATTTTTTTTTAAATGATCTGCACTTATTTATTAAAGAAATATTTGATGAAATGGAATTTCCCACATTCTGTATTTGGCTGAGTGCATCCTCACAATATAATATGTTGCCTTCCATAGTTTCTATGAAATAATAGTTAGACACAGAGCCCTGATTTCCATTTTCGGGGGGTGGTCAGGATATGTCACACATGGTGTATGTGTGTTACATCCTGCAGTATCCACAAGGACTAGCTGCACCCTTTTCCTTTTCAGATGGGGTTCTTGCTAAGCTACCCAGGCTGGCCTCAAACTCATGATCTTCCCACCTCAGCTTCCTTAGTAGCTGAGATTACAGGTGTGTGCCACCATGCCTGGCTGGTGGTTGTCCCCCCTTTTTTTTTTTTGGGTACCAGGGATCGAAGTCAGGACCTTGTGCTTGTGAGGCAGGTGCCGGAACCACTGAGCTAAATCCCCAGCCCCTGGTTGTCCCATTTTTAATGGGCTTAAAATTGATGAATAGGTTCAAGTTTTGACAACCTGATCCATCCAGAAAAATATAAGATGAGGAGATAAAGAAGAGCATTGTGGGAAGGAGATGATAATGCAAGCTAGGGCTGCACACCTACTCTTAGAAGGATGTACAATATGTACATTTATGTGACTAGAAGCCTGCATCTCTTGAACATTCCCATGGCTACAGATAAAACCTCCCTCACTCAACATTATATTTTCCAACAAATGTCTCAAATTCTTTATAGCCAAGTAGTATTCCATTATATGTAAATACTACATTTTAAACCAGCTATGTAAGTTTAAATACCATATGGTATCTCTCATTTGAGTGACGAAAAGTACAAACAAAGAAAATGATAAAGGATGGACCAGGGGATGGGTCTCTTGCAATAGGAAAGTAGTCCAAGGGAACAGGAGGTGAGAAGAAGGGTCAGGGGAAAGGAGAGGAATAAAGATGTGGCATGTACAGGACTGTAATAACCCCAATTAATATAAACACTATATGCCATAACATGAGCTAAGACAAATAATATCAACCAATATGAAAAAGGGGATAGGGGAACTTGAAGAGGAGGGAAGTTGGGGAGGGAAGGGAAAGGGTATTAAAAAAAACCAACAAGCTGTACTATGTACATATAACCACTCCCCAAGATCACTACAAACTGCATGAATTGCAAACGTACTAATAAAAATTTTTAAAAAATTAAAAAACCTTGCTGGGGATTTAGCTCAGTGGTTCCGCTGCCTGCCTCGCAAGTGCAAGGACCCAAGTTCGATCCCCGGTACCAAAAAAAAAAAAAAAAAAATTAAAAAACCTTCTTCATAGAGCAAGATTCTATTTTTCACATGTCTGAGAATAAGCAAAATCTAGCTAATCTTGCACAGCAAACAAGGGCCAGGAAAATAATGTCTTTAAAAATGAGCTCCTTTTAGCACTTCTCCCTTGAAATATTAAGAATCCAAAATATCTTACAATTAAATGTGTTTCTTGTACGCAGCATATTGTCGGATCTTGGTTCTTGATCCATTCTGCCAGTCTGTTTCTTTTGATTGGTGAATGGAGACCATTAACATTGATGGTTGTAACTGACATGTATTGCCTTATCTCTGTCATGTTATTTTCCTGCTGTTGGCTTCCTTCTTTCCTTTTCTGTTTAATTTCTTGCCTTGCCTGATGGATTCATTCTGTTGGGGTTCATGGAGTTTGAGTCCTTATTGTCTTTTGCTAGAATATCCTTCAGAACACTTTAGAGTGCTGGTTTGGTGGTCATGAATTTCTTCAGGTGTTCTTTGTCATGGAAGTATCTTATTTCTGCAACAATTTTGAAGGATAGTTTTGCAGGGTACATCTGTCTGGGTTGGAGGGTTTTTTTCCTTTAGGGAAATACTTCACTCTAAGCTCTCCTTTATTTGAGAGTTTGTGTTGAGAAGTCTGCTGTGATTCTGATGGCCTTTCCTTTATAGGTGATTTGTTTCTTTTCTCTAACAACTTTTAATATTCTGTCCTTGTGTTGAATTTCTGGAATCTTGACTATTATATGTCATGGGGAAGATTTTTTTTGATCATGGCTAATTGGAGTCCTATATGCCTCCTCACTTATCTGTATATCAAATTCTTTTTCCCTGTTTGGGAAGTTTTCTGCCATTACTTCTGAGAACAAGTTCTTTGAGACCAGCCTAGACAATTTGGCAACTTGGTGAGACCCTGTCCCCCCCAAAAATCAAGAGGGACTAGGGATATAGTTCAACGTAAAGGTCCCGGGTCCAATCCCCAGTATTACAAAATAAACAAAAGAGGTGTAAAATCTTTCCATTTTAGTGTACTTGTTAATATTTATATTCCTTCAGTGTCTGTTTTCCCTTGTTCCTGAAATAAGAAACCTGATGTAGGATGTACCTGAATTACAGGAATGTGGCCCACCACAAACACATATTGCTCAACCTCCAAATGGACCATTTTGTTGTTATTCATCTCTTATAAACTGCCTTGCAAGGCTGAAGTACATTCTACAATTAAAGTTCCCAATCATAGCCCCCACTCAAAAGGCCTCCTAAAACAGATGATACTACCATAGAGTAAGACCAAGACAAACTATAGTTCCTGACAGTTGAAAAGTTTCAGATTTGGAGCATTCTGGATTTCAGATTATAAAAACTGTGGATGCTTTACTGGTAAAGTCTATGCAAAGTCTGAAAAATTCTAAAATGTGAAACACTCCTGGTCCCAACCATTTCAGATAAGGGATACTCAACTGTACCTGATATAGAAAGAATGCTTTACAATATATAAAAGAATGCTTATGATTCAACAATAAGACAATAAAAATAGAAATTTACTCAAAGAAGATATCCAAATGGCCAAGAAGCCATGAGATCAGCCGTGTTCAGGGTAGCATGGCCATAGACATCGTACTGGAAGCCATGAAAAGATAATCAACATAACTAATCATTGAAGCCTTTTTTTTTTTTGTTCCAGGGATCGAACTCAGGACCTTGCACTTGCGCGACAGGCGCCAGAACCACTGAGCTAAATCCCAGGCCCAACATAACTAATCATTAGGGAAATGCAAATCAAAACCACAATGAGATGATACTTCACATCTATTAGGATGGCTATTACCCAAAAAACAATAATAAGGGTTTTTTTTTGTTTGTTTAGGTTTTTTTTTTTTTTGTACCAGGGATCGAACTCGGGTCCTTGCACTTGCAGGGCAGGCAGCAGAA